TGACAGGGGGGTGAGTCTGCAGGGGAAGAATACAGTGATTGAACTGAAGCTGGATGATTGTGAGAGTGTGTGGGGGGTTCGAGATGCCGTCCTGGGGCAGGGATGTCGGTCCTTTAGCTTGGACGGGTGTTGTTACATTCATTGTAACATTTTGTCGTTTTCTGTGTGTTTTGCTGTGCGACTATAGTAGCAGCAGTGTCTTGTGCTAATTTTTCTTATGATATCAGGCCCTATGCGTACAATTATTCAAAAAAGAAAAAAAAAAAAGAAAGAAAAAATATCAGGAAGGAGATATAATAATATCAATAATAAAGCCATTGCCGAGCCACCGTGCTCACAGCAGAGACTTCTGTGTGTGTTATTGTTGTGAAGTGGACCACAAAGACACATATAAAACATGACATGACAGCGTATACTGTAAACTACACACAGCGCATATAGCGTATGCCATGCACCAACATCAGCGCTACGGCCGAGTCGCAATACAACATTGCAATGAATACAATGCCATAAGCGCGAAGGCCTTTCCCACTTCAGAACTGGTGGTTTGCAACAGAAGGGTTAGAGCACCGCTGCCCTCAAGTGAAGGCCCCTGGCTCGAGTCCTGGTGGCGCCAGTCAATTTTTTCTTCAGACGTTTTCCCGTTTGCATCTTTCCATCAACCAATGAACAGGTAAGGAGTCGTCCGTATTTTTCGAAAAATTAAAAAATCCGTCCTCAGGCAAAGGGTCAAGAGTGCTGGCGGAATTAATTTTTTTGATTTTTCGTACTTTTTTTTTTGCTCCAGGCCGGGACTTTCATACACTTGTTGCACTGACTGTGTAGTGTACTGTAGACCAGGGAGTCGTAAAATACCGGTATTTTACGACTCCCTGCTGTAGACGTAGTGTAGGATCGATTGTCGCAAACACCAGTATCTACTATACATGACTTTTCAGACTTTTCATGTAGTTGTAGGACGTGCATGTCCGTCGGTTGACCTACTACTCACTGTACTTAGCTACTAGTACTTGACATACAATGTAGGTGCAGTCAGAAAACATGGCGTCAGGAGTTATTATTTTCCAGCTGGGCATCGGTAAAATCAAAAACTTAACGGAAAAAATGGGGGTGGGTGGGTGGGTCAGAGACAATTTTGCACGAGGACGGATTTTTTAATTTTTCGAAAATTACGGAAGACCCCTAAAGAAGGTGGTGTGACTTACAATCGAGCGTGACTTCTTCCTACGTAATATGTGAATGTACTGTATTGAAACAACTTGGCTCAGACCTGTTGCGACTTATCATCAAGTGCGACTTCTAATCAGCTAAATGCTGTACACTTAAGCCAATGCCAGCTTTCTTCTTCTCATTCCATTTCCTTCTCAGGTTCTGCTACAAGACACATTCGGGATTATAAGGAGCTTGTCAATCAGAATGATGGACAGAGAGGTAAATATACATACAAGTACGGATGGATGATGGGTAGAGAAACAGACAGACAGACAGACAGATAAACAGACATACAGACAGACAGACATACAGACAGATGTATGTCTGTATCTACACCCATCGTCCATCTATATACTGTGTGCATGTGTGTGACACAAAAACAGACAAGCGTGCAGACAAACAGACAGGGAATGCTGACCTTTCCACCCTTGAGAATATGATACCAGACGGATGTGCCACCAAAGTCGATACGGAAATCTGTGTAGCAGCCACCGACGCTCATCAGGCAGTACCTGTGACAGCACGGCATCACCACAAGCAACAGCAGGAGACCAGCAACAACAACAGCAGCTCCATCAGTAAGCCAGCAACAGCAACAGCACAAGTAACAGCAGTAGACCAGCAACAGCAACAGCCACACAATCAGTAAGCCAACAACAACAGTAGACCAGCAACAGCAGCGCCGGCACAACCATCAGCAGTAGGGCAGCCAGCAACAGCAGCACAATCAGTAAGCCAACAACAGCAGCAGCACCACAAGCACCAGCAATAGGGCAGCTACACCTGTAGTACTATCAACAGTAACAGCAACACCGGCGGCAGCAGCAGCAGCAGCACAATCAACAAGAACAAACAAAACACATACTTTTGCACTTTGGGATATTTCATGTCGACCAGTCGGTTGGTGGCCTCCTGCTGCAAAGCGCACAATATTTCCGGCCACACCAAGTCCACCCAATCCAAATGACGTACCTGCGTGCAACAACAACAACAACAACAGCAACAGCAGCCGCAGCAAGCAAGCAGTAGGAAGAAGAAAAGACAAATGAGCAATTCGTACACGGTTGCGAATACTTCCTCCGTATACAAAAACTTCGTGACTTTTTTTCAACGGTGTTTTTGAGCAAGAACCTGCTCAACGAACCTCGCCAAAGGCTGTCATCGACCACCCACATTCATGTTGAGGTAGGTTTGGTTGATCCCGAACAGATTCTCCACGGAAGCCATGCGTGTGAGGACGTTGCCGACAGGAACTCACGAGTCAAATGAAGAAAAACGAACAGTTACTTGCTCGAAACTGACACGGTGACGAAGTGGAGCTCGCGGCTGGACCACGGAGTCCACCGGCACTCGCTGCCCTGAAGCTGGCCAGGCTAGTACTTGCGGTGCACGGCCCCATATGCAACGTGAGAACATAAATCGGTTCCGCTCGCACGGCCAGATGAAACATTTCAGTCGTCGTGCAACCAGCGCTGACTCCGGTCGGAATGTCGACGACCTGGCTTTCTTCGCCACTCTCCAGTCAGACGTCTCCGTCGTGGTCTAGGGGAATCGCAGGGAACTCCTCGAAGCCGTTGTAGAATGCTGGGAGGATTATCCTGCCAAGAAAATGCGAAGCGTGTGGGTGTGCTTGAGCGACTCGTTTCACGACATAATGGAGGTCGCGGGTTGGAACGACTGAATATAGTCGACACCGATTTGTACACAGCTCTGGAGGTGAAGAGGACGTAGCCAAAGTCCCGCGTCGGATCATCACTGCAGCTGAAAAGAATCTGAACGAGTGGGAGCGGAAGCAGCAACTGTTGGCGATGAGGCGTCAGCGTCGTCAGGTGACAATGACAGGAGTGACGAAGACTCTGAATAAACTCAATCTCATTCGTCTGAGTTGCTTTTTTCTTTGTATATAGCTTGTAAACAGGTTAGACAATGCCACGAGTGTTATTCGAAGTCAAACGGAACAATTCCAGAGCTGTGCGCAGCCTTCAAAAAAAGTCACGAAGTTTTTGTATACGGAGGAAGTACATACTATACAGCTTGTGATGGGGCATTGATAAACCAATATAAACACATTGCACAAACCAATCAGGAGTTAAAAATCCATACTTTCTCAAAACTAGCCGAAGCATGATCATGTATGACATGAGCCTCAAACGCCCACCAAACCCCCCAACACGGCATACAGGGGAGACAGCAGTGCAGTGGAGTGCTCAACTACAGTGCACTCATTTCTCACGGCTCCTATCCGGACCTCCAAGTTACGGGCATCTTGGTCTACGGGAACCCTGTGAGTGAGTTTTAGTGGATATATTACTACTTTTCTACCAATTTGTGGAAATACCAGGAGTGACGTAATATGCCAGATCTACGTGCCTTCCACATCAAGATGTACATGATTACGAACATTTCCAAATGAAGGGCAGAGTCCCCGGTCCCGGACCGCCCGGATACAACAAATAAGAGTGTACTACATGTAACGTTACATGCATAGGATTGATTGATTGCAGCCTATATCAATCATATCTTCTGAAAATTGTAGTCCAAGTTGCTGTCTGATGATCGGTTAAAACCGTGAAACTCAGAGTTACAGCAGAAACGCTTTTGATCCTCTCAAGTGTATGTAGGATTGCTGACGTACCAGACTGGGTGACTCCACTAGAGGCTCCAACTTAGTCTTGGTGAACTCCAGGCTAATGACGTTGTAGAGTTTGTCGCGTTTCGCATTCGTGTAGTACCTGCACCAGAGAGTATACGGCGTGTGCCAAACACACACACACACACGCACGCGTACACACACACACACACACACACACAAACACACAATGTAGCTCAACGTCTCTTGGAACCTAAGAAAACACCCAAAAGACACCATGCCACCAAGACTTGCACTGAAAGGCTTACTTTGTAAAGTTTGCCATGCTCATGGTGGAGCCTTGTTGTGAGGACACATCCATGATGTCAATAGTACGCCCACGCCTGCCCATCGCCCAAAGACCCCCTAGCGATCTCACTGGCCCATTGCCCCCCCCCCCCCCATCCTCCTGGCACCTCCACCCATCTGCTGTACACTGCCTCCCCATCGCCTCTTTCCGCGCTTTCATGCTCACACCTGCCTGTTGCCCGCCACCCTCCTGGCACTTATACTGTCGCGCCGTGGCCCGCGCCAGCTGTTCTCCCCATACCTTACACCAGATTTAGCGCTAAATTTGTTTATGCTTGTGGCCCTATGTATTTATAAGCATACTGACTCACTGTTGGGTAGACCCGAATATCAGTTGTTTGATGATTACCTAACGGCATGAAACTCAAGAGTTACAACCAACCTGAACGTCCTCCGCTGAGTCTGCTATGATTTGAAAACTCCGTATGGCGGAACCCAGATGCGCATGCAGTTTACGTAAGACGTTCCGTAGATCGACTACATTTTTTTTAACTAACGTAACTACGTTATGCGCAACCTCTCTAATAAAGTACAGTGAGTGCTGGAAAATACTTCCACAACTGTGGACAGTCGGTTATAGGCGATTCACACGACAGCCACTTGCACGTTTTACGGCGAGTGATTTACGAGAAAAAGTGACTGTGTGGATTCACATGGCTGCACTCAACAGCGGGCACGTTTGCATTTTTGAATGATTCACCCACCAGTTGCCATGAGTATTTCAAATTTTCATAACACGTGTACAATAATTATCACGGTGAAAAGAGCCGCGTAAAAAATCAAGTCTTGTTTTGCGCTTTTTGCTGTAAATATAGTTTACTGCTTGCCGCAGATCTGCAGAGGGGCTGAG